GAGTTAGGTGAAAGTATATGCACAAATGACTACTTCTCCAATCCTACTATAAAGTTTGTAAGATCGTTTTCTTTCTTAATCGTATGGAAATTTTGAGAAAATAGTTTGGGTATTTTAGTCGTCCTTTACCATATTTGAATCTGGCACGGAACTTTTCGATTTTTGAATTACTGTTAAATCAATCCCGGTACGTGTCAATTTATCCCCATTTTGCCCCTATAACCAGAAAGCTCTAGCATTTATTCTACTTCAACTAACCAACCCAAGCTTAACACCTGGCCTCAACGTTGCAAAAAGTATTCCCCCCCTCAACAAGCTCCCCACTAAATTTGAAAACATTATCAAATGTAACAAGTTCGAGTTTATGCTCCCGCAGGAGAAAATGTGTATCTACTCCGTCATTCAAAAGACCTACTTGGATAGCTTTTTTTTCGGTTTGAGATTTTAGGAAACTCCTAAGAATTATTAGATCATTATTCTTAAAAGAAAATATCTAATTTTAAGTTTTTTGACACTTAAATTTCACACTTTAAAATTTGAATGGTCTTTATGTGGTAAATTGTTTCATGCGACAGGTCCCACATTTTCACATTTGCTCCTTGTTTTATAAAGCATCCACTGTGAAGATATATGCAAATGGGTGGTCTATCTAAAAACAATTGAAATTAACAATCAACATATTTTTTCATAAAATTATTATTTTTAGTTTTTAAAAATTATTTATTTTTTCATATTCATGATCTCCATGGTAGAGATTATATGTCTTTAAAAATTGGGTCCGAAAATCCATCTCAACAATACATTTTTAGGAGTGGACTCATTTCTACATGGACTCATGAAAACCGTGTCCATGGGACATTATTTTTTTAGTACATAGAGAGTTCAATTATAATTATTTTAAAGTGTAGTCGGACTCTCATAAGGGTCCTAATTTTACTCCTATATCGAATTTTATGGGAACTTATAGCGGGTATGACCCTCGATAGAGCAGAATGGCAGACTAAGATTCATGTTACGGATCCTAATTAGTTAAAAAAAAGCTCTGTTAATAATTATTAGATTTTCCTTATAGGTCTCTCTTATTTCCCCTAGGTCTCTCACTCTCTCTCTCTCAATGCAATTTATCTCCTTAGGGCTATTTTCATTCCTAGGTCTCTCTTATTTCCTTTAGGTTCTCTCTCTATGACCCGTGTAGGCTCATCTGTCTCTTATAAGTGTTCCTCTCCCCTGAGGGAGCATAGTACACAGCGGCTCATCTTTTGCTCTTATTTTCTCTTAGGGGGGTGTTTGTGATGTATTAGTTATTATTGATTATTCATTGTCTTAATAAAAATTAATTTTCATAGTGAATTATCTCTCAGCAGGTGTCCGTCATAGAATCATCTGAAATAAAGTTATATATATAAGTTTGTGTGTTTTTTAAAAATATTTTAAAATTATTCAAAATAAGTTGTCGAAAAATTACACCTTCTTTGCTAGAAACAATAAAAAATAATTGAAATCACAAAAAAAAATTAAATAATAAAATAACACTATATATAATACGAGGCATGTGCAAATAACTAACAAAAGTATATTATGTATAATTTATTAATTTAAGATAAGATAGTCCATATTCCTGATAAGATTAATGTCATCCAAATTAGGCCACATTATTTTGCTTTATTGATGACTGCGATATCACTTATGTACTTAGGTATAACATGTAGCCGGAAGTTTTTTTCTATTGTCAATAGAAACTACCCAATTACCATAAGAAAACCCAGCAAGATTAGTGTTATTTTCATAAATATATATGATACCGTGTTTCTTTATTCCCTAGATACGTCTTAAATTCTTTTTGTTGCTGCAAAATGTAGCTTTATTGGTTTATTTATAAACTTGGAACAAATATTGACTGCATGCACAATGTTTGGACTTGTATCAGTCAAATAAATTAGGGAACCAACCAAGCTTCGATAAATTTATGCATCAATTTTTTCTGCACCATAGTATTTTGACAGTTTTTCATTCACTGCCATTGGAGTATTACTTTTTTTTTATAACAAATATTTCTTCATTCATGGGATTTACCCAAATTTTCTCTCTAGTTGTTTTTTCAAAATTTTGTGGTTCACTGTAAAAGAATGCAACATTACATGATTAATAAATTTCAAAAAAGACATTACTTTTCTAGGAGGACTATCTGAATCTGAAGAATTTGAACTTAGACTTTTTTGTATTGGGCTTGAAAATCTTGGATCTGAAACCAATAATCTCTAATTTTTTTGCTTCTTGGCTAGATTTTATATTCCAATTCCATTCACTTCTCTCATAAAAAAAACATCTCTAGAAATTACCAATTTATTTGTTTTTAGATTGAAAAGATGATACGCTTTTAAATTTTCAATATTTATTTTCCACCTTTTTCATTAAATTTTTCTCTGTTTTGAGAAGTATTTTTCCCATAAGCAACGCATTCAAAAACTTTGAAAATATTTACTTTTGGTTTTCCCTTGTACCAAATTTTAAATTTGAAATTTTAATTTAAAAATTAAAATTTCAGGTTTTTAGACTACAAAAATTACATTTTCCTTGTGGATCATGTAATTTAATTAAATTCAGATTTGAAAATATTGAAAATTTTTATGAGGGAAAAAAAAAAGCCCCAACTTCAAGATAAAAAATTCCACAATTTCAGATTTTGATGATTTGAAAATTTTCTTTATTGATTTTGGATCTTGGAGATCCAAAATATTGGCATTTAGGAACCACAAAAAAAATGGATACAGATGTAATGATGGTAAATTACGAGTAAATTTTGAATAACATTAAATAAAACAAATATTAAAGTAATCTTATCTAAGTTCGCCGCTCTTGTGTTTCATCAAAAGATTGACGATATCATGGTGTTTGGGTAAAATGAAAAAGGGTTTTGATACGAGCAAGCAAGAAACCCTAGTTGACATCTATTCCCTATGCTTTGCTGCAAAAAACTGGACGACTGTGTTTAAAATTAACACGTTATCCTTTTTAGGCACAGACATGATGAGTATAAGCATGAATTTCTTTTCCTTTTGATGTGATTGGTCGCTATTTTGACAGAAATGAGTCACCTCTTAAAAATCTATTTTTGGGATGGATTTTTAGACTTAATTCTTAAAGACATGCAATCTCTAATGTAGAGATTATGAGTATGAAAAAAATAAAAAATAAAAATTGAAAATTGAAAATAATAATGATATTAAAAAACATTTGGATAGTTAATTCCAGTTATTTTTAGATGGACCACCTAGTTGCGTCAATCTTTAAAATAGATGCTTTGTACCCCATGGACCACAAATATAGAAATGCGGTCCTCTCGCATGAAACAATTTTCCCATGCAACGGGACACCTCCAATTTAAATTAGTTAACATTCCACCCATAGTTTTTCTAATTGAAAATGGTATGATAGGGCTGACCACCTATCAAAATAAGTAAAGTGTCACGACCCCGCCACCTACTGGCCCCATCCGGCCCATAAAGGCTAGCACTGAGTCCGCAGGGTGTGGGATTGGACACGGAGCCCGTAGGGCTTGGGTCTTGAATTCTTGCACAAGGGGCTTTAGCGGATGAGAGGTGGTGAGGGTGAGAGGTGAGGTAGCTCATGGTAGGTGGGTAAGAGGGCTCAAAGTGAGGGGTATGAGGGTTTAATGGTTAAGGGAGAAGATGAAAACAAGGGGGAAAGAGGGGTATGTGAGGGGGTGAAGGGATAAGGAGAGAGAGTGAAACCTAATTTATGAGTGAGTGGGAAGGAGAGGGGGAGGGGGTATATACATAAGTGTGAGGATGGAAGTATGCATGTTCCACATGGTACTCAAATGATCATGCATGAAGAGAGAGAAGACATGCATGATGAACACAATGATGGGGTAGAAGTATGCATGTACCATATAACACTCAAGTGATCATGTATGAGGAGAAAGATAACATGCATGAGCATGCATGGGGAACACAATGATGGGAGTGGAAGCATGCATGTATCATATGGCTTTCAAGTGATCATGCATGAAGAGAGAGAGGGCATGAATGATGTAATCATGTGTATTGGGATGTATGAGTTTTTATGGGGATTCGTGCACACAAGAGTGTGTGCATGCACGTTGCATTGGGATGCACGCGGAAAAAATAATCGGGTATGGATCATGACTTTCTGACGGTAGCTTGAATTTGAGTGATTTTCATAACGTCGGAAAGCTCATGATCCCTACAAAAACACGGTACCACTCAAAATACCAAACAGAGGTTAATCAGCAAATCGAAAAAGAAATCCGAAGTAAGCATTAGTAGGAAACGATTCAAGATGTAATCAGAATCAATGACTAGAAAAATCACGGACCTTACATAAAGCTTCATATCATAACTCATCGAAAATTACAATTCATGCATTAGAAAACGTTTACATCAATCATCTCAACTTGAACATTATGGTTGTGAAAAAAAAAGGTTTCAAGGGCTAAAAATAGTATATATTGTAACAAATTATCAAGACCGTCCATTTTATCCTAAAAATAAGCGTTTACAGATATGAGAGATATGTACCTTTCTTTTAGTTTTAAATTTTATTGTTGGTGTTGAAAATTGATTTTAGAGCCATCATGAAGATTTCTGTTGTTGGAAGTGCTTTTTGGACAATGAATTGATGTGAGGCGTTATTTTGTTTTCATATAGCCTAGCCTTATTGAAAATTCATCATTTTCTAGTTTAAATTGTCCATCACCCTTTTGATTCAATTTCAAATAGTTCATCAAACTACACATCGAAATGAGCTTCAAAGCTATCAAGATTACCTAGTTCAAACTTTAGCTATGGTTTAATATATTTCCTTATGCAAAATCTAGAGTCCTAATAATACTCTCTTCTTCTTCTTCCTCTCTTTTTTTTTAACACTAGTTTCATTGAGTAAATGAAATTACAAGATATAAGAAGGAAAATAAGAAATAAAAGGAAGTAGAAAAGAGGAGAAGAAGTTCAAATATAGCACGTTCACCTATAAATTTTTTTTAAAAAATAATTTTAAATAAATAAAAATAAGAAACTACTTCTGAATGGCATATTGGTAGTTTGTAATTTTAATTATTTTTACATTATTATGGATGTATGATTGCAAAACGTATAGACATACCAAATTTGAGCATAATCCGATATATGAAAATGAGATAAAATTAAAATACACATTATGTTTTAAAAAAGGACTCAATTATAAAATATTAAATGTATGAGATTAGTTTTAAAAGTAAAAAATAAAAGAGAAGTCTACCAATATAAATTGTAATTATATTTAGCAGTATATCCCATTTAAAAGTTGTAATTGTAAGAATCTCCCTTAACTTTGCACATTACTTGTATACCGCTTTTGTCTGGTATTTTTTATTTCAAATTTGCTCATGATTTAGAAGATTGAATATCTTTATTTTGTTGAACATATTGGAGATTGAATATCCTGTCATAAATGACTTTGGATTTTCAATATATATAGTCATATTAATATTTTCTAAAGTAATTTTTAAGAAAAAAACAAAAAAGACTGTAGATCTTGAAAATCCAAAGTCATTATTGACTTCAAATTTGTAATATTCAAAGTTGCATTGTAATTGAGATTTTCATACAAATTTGGATATTCAAAATCTTAAGCTAAAAGCGATTTTGGATTTTCAATATTTGAAGTGAAAAATCACTTTAAAATGAAAGATTACTAGTGACTTCAGAGTGAAAAATCACTTTAAAAGATAACTCTCGACTCTAGAGTAAGGGAAAAATTGAATAAAAAAAAGAATTGATAGCTCATAATATATAAAAATTTGGGGATAGTTTATTAATTGCAATTCTTTAAATGAGATATGCAGGTAAATTTCTCTTAATAAAAATACTACTCCTTCGATTAGATGACTTACTTGGGAGGATTTTTTGCAATATTACCTAAAAATCACTAGAGAAAATTTTAAAATTTGAATTTTTTAACACTTAGATGTCACTATCTAAAATTACGGTGGTTTCTATTAAATCTTAAAGCATTATTTTTTCTTAGAAGGTGTATTTTAAAAAAATTTAGTTGAAGCTAATCTGCATGTTTAAAAAGGTTATATAAACCCAAAATGTGGGGTTTTACTTGAGGGAGTAAACGGACAGTATACTCCCGACGGAGTAGAATGTCTTTTGGCTATAGATGAGCTAAAGAAAAACAAAAACTGTGTCTAACGGCGTCCGCTCCACCACGTGGCATCGTCCCATATGCTCAACGGTTAACTCCCCTATACTTAAACAACTATGGAAAGCACAACGGCTACATACTCCCAACGGTCACTTCAACACACCGTTCGAAAACCTTGCCCCTATTTTAGCGCCCCATCGCTTCCCTCCCTTCCCCATCCTCAGTTTCGCCGGAAAAGTTTCACATTGTCGGATTCCTGCCAAATTCCACTTCATTTGGCCGGAAATCACTCTCTCCTCCCAAATTTCATCCAAACTTTACTCTGATTTTGTCCGAAATCTCACTCTACCTCAAGTTCATCGACCCCCATTTCACCCGAAATTTGTTTCTTTCTTCGAATTCCGGCTCCATTCCTCCATAAATCTCAGTCTAGAGCCAAAATCCGGCAAAATTTTGCCGCCATTTCTCCTTGAAACCTCACTTTATAGCCTTATTCGGTCCATTTCTCTCTCTAGAACTCCATTTTTCTAGCGAAATGGGTTTCAACATCCCTGTAACTGCTATTCTCTTTCTCTCTCTGATAATTTCATGCTCTTCTCAGTCACCATCATCCAGCCCATCCACTTCCCCTAATCCCTCTCCAACTGTTCCGGCAAGTCAGCCGGTTTCCAGCAGCCCCAGAACTTCTCCGGGGAGTCCGCCATCAGTTTCAGGCAGTCCAAAGACTTCTCCGGCCAGTCCACCATCAATTTCCGGCAGCCCGAATACTTCTCCAGCAAGTCCCCCGTCAGTATCGAGCAGCCCAAAAATCTCTCCAGCGAACCCGCCATCATCTTCCAGCAGCCCAAAAATCTCTCCAGCGAACCCGCCATCATCTTCCAGCAGCCCAAAAGTTTCTCCAGCAAGCCCTCCGCCATCTTCTGGAAGCCCCATTGTACCCCCAGCCATTTCTCCAGCAAGCCCTCCGCCATCTTCTGGAAGCCCCATTGTCCCCCCAGCCATTTCTCCAGCAAGCCCTCCGCCAACTCCTGGAAGCCATACTGTTTCTCCCGCACCTTCTCCAGAAGCATCTGGAAGCCCTACAGAGACCCCGGCCGCCTCTCCAGAAAGTTCCGAAAGCCCTGCTGCATCTTCTCCGGCAATGGGCCCCGCTGCTGCAGCCAGTCCCCCGAGCCCCTCTGAGGGAGTTTTGTCACCAGCGGAGTCACCAGTGAACGAGGATAAATCGGCTGCTGGCCACGGCCACGGCCACGGCCACGGCCCTGTGATGGGGGGCTTGGTGGGCACTGTTTTGTGTAGTGTTATTGTGGGGGTTTCTTTGGGTTTTTGAGGGCTACATTTCTTTTTCCCCTTTTCTTTTCTGCTTTTCTTTTCTCTTTTGAGCATGAGTTTTGTACTGTTTTTTTTTTCATGTTTTGTGCTTCTCTCTCATGCATATTGCGGTTCATATCATTCATTTATTTACTATATATATATATATTTCATTATTTTGGCAAGGGCCAAATTTTTCGACCCCGCATTTAGCTTTACATGGAAACCCTCTCTCTGTAACTTGGCAAGTGTTTGTTAATATTCTCTCTCTTAATTTCTCACTTCCACTGTCCAAAACCCTCTTCATGATTGAGCCCGAATTTGGCAAGTAGAGGGCAAAAGTTGTGATTTTTTTTAATGTGATTTCTTCAAGAATGAAAAGTTCATGTGATTTGTTTCGCTGCCCCTTGCATGATCTGTGTGGAGAAACAGGGCAGCACCTCTGAATTCGAACGTTCCTTTCCTCTGTGGTAATTGAAAAATTATGGATACCACTCAACTCAGAATGCTCGAGCTAAATTGGAATAGGGAAGTAGGCAATTACAATTTGATGAATCTGAAATCACCCTGTTTTAAGCTATTGTTATTTTAATTATATGTGCTTATAAAAAATTGCAGCCTGAATGTGACTAAGAATCCCACTTGAGAGTGACAGAAGAAAATTTTGACACCTTTCAGGGCCAGCCTCATTTGATTATTACTTAATAACGGAAAAAGTGCATAAATGCTTGCTGCCAACCTTATACTATTTACAGAAAGGTGCACCTCAAACATCCTCTAGAAGAGGGTGTTTTGATGTAGCTTGTGAAGGGAGAGAATAACGGGGCTCTGGTTAGTACCACCGATCGAAAGTGGGAAGACCCCTGTGACCTAGGCTATGGAATTCATCTGCACCTTATTCATAAGCTCGATCGTGATGGTTTCCTCCTCATTATAGTCCTCCTAAAATCAATAGCATTTCGTCGAGGGTGTTTTGATGTTAGAAAACTCCTTTGATTTGTTCATCTATATGGATATGAAAAAAAAAAAAACTATATGATTGTTGAGTGTATTCGAAAAGAGAGAGAGAGAGAGAGATTTAAGTGAAAAATACATGATTTTAAAATGCTAAACATTAATGAGCATTTCAAATGCTTTCTAATTCCTTCATCTTCTAAACTCGTCTCTTTCTCTCTCTAATTTGTTCCCTTAATGTAACTCCACTCTCTAACTCCAATCCGCTGTTTACCTCCTATCTCTCCTTCTCTAAAATAAACCATTCTCTACATCTAATTGCTTCCTATCTCTAATTATGCACATTCTCTCTCTAACTCCTTTATATTTCCCCAATCACGCGAACCGCCTAAACTAGGATTTGAAATTCCTAGTTTAGGTTCTTTTAGATAGATAATGAATCCAAGATATGGGCCATCATACATGGAGATGGATCTCAAATATTTGACCCTCTATATGTAGTTGCCAAATAGGTTCTAAGGCCTGTAACCAGTCATGGATTGAGATTTCCAAGGATCCAAAGAAGAAGACCCATTTGATTTTTCCATAGTTGATGAATACAACATAATAATGTGATACGTGGACACCAACTGACAAGGGTGTCCGGTACATCGAAATGTTTTTTATGCATGCTTCTAAGTTATCAATTACCACATTTCTTTCTCTGAGAATTACACTAGTTTCCTACCAATGTTAAAAAACAAGGATCCGACTCCGGCGAGATCCCAAATCCGACAATATCAAAATGCAGGAATTGGCCGATTTTTGGCTTATTTCTGTTCTAGGCACAACCTTTTCTAGTCCTAGTAACTTCGGTGAGTTCTAGTAGACGCACGAGTTTTTCGACCAGTGTTTCCTTTTGACGAAGTAGAGTTTTTATTGAACCAAATGGGATATATTTACCAAAACCAATATAGTATGCAAGGACTCAGTTGAGTCTACTTGGCTATTACTCAGTTCAAGTCAAGTTCGAGAACACTGAAATTCCCAAGTATGCCAGTATTTTCAGAAGAATTCAGTTCAAGCAGAGTTCGAGAACACTGAAATTCCCTAGTATGCCAGTATTTTCAGAAGAGTTCTTTCATGAGAGACCAGCCTTGCAAGTTGGGTAGCTCCAATCTAATTTAATGGAAATATTTAGTGGTTAAGAAGCTGGAAGGGTTTTTTCAAACTTTGTAATGAGAATATAAACTTAACAAAGACTAAAGAGCAGCAGTCATTTTCTAAGTTGAGTCAATGGTTAGAGCCCTAAAATTGTGCTTGGGACTAAGTCAACCTTAGGTTTGCAAGCTGGGTAGCTCGAATCTAATTTAATGGACTATATTTAGTAGGGGAAAAGTTTATATAGAGCTGAGGCTCTAAACAATCAAATTAGAGCCTACCTCAAAAATTTAACCAGAAGAGGTTGTTTTGATGCCCAAATATCATCAATTGATCATCTCGACATCAATATGCATGGACATGAGAAAAAAATGGATTTCAAGTTTAGGAAATAGCATGTTTGAAGGTGCATTTTAAAATTTCCAATATTGAAACCTCATATCTCGGCACTATCTGAAGGTAGGCTCTAATTTGATTGTTTAGAGCCTAGGCTCTATACAAACCACACCCATTTAGTAATTAGGAAGTTGGTTCAAACTCTGTAATGAGAATATAAACTTAACAAAGACCAAAGTGCAGGGATTTTCTAAATTGTGTCAATATTAAAGCCATAAAATTGGGCTGGAGACTAAGTCAACCTTAGTGAATTTCAGACAATAACAAAGCTGGGGCCCAAATCCATGTCACTTTGTTCTACTAAATTATTAATTGATAAAAAAATTTAAATGTTTATCCAATTCGATCGCTTGTTCTCCATGTTCCATTACTAACTACTCAATAAAAGAAATTGAATCTCCATTTGGCTGAGAACATAAAAATGCAACAAGTTGGCTGAGAACAATGATGGCTGTTGAAGGTTAAAAAACGATTTTTATTGAAGGTTGAAGAAAGACTTTTGAGAGAGAGAGCAATGTGGCTGAGAACAATGATGGCTATTGAAGGTTAAAAAAATACTCTTAACGGAGAGAACAATGTTCTACTAACTAAATAAAAGAAATTGAATCTCCATGTTCCATTACTAACTACTCAATAAAAGAAATTGAATGAGAGCATAAAAAATGCAACAAGTTCGCTGAGAACAATGATGGCTATTGCAGGCTGTTGAAGGTTAAAAAAAAGACTTTGATTGAAGGTTGAAGAAAGACTTTTAAGAGAGAGAGAGCAATGTGGCTGAGAACAATGATGACTATTGAAGGTTAACAAAAAACTTTCAAGAGAGAGAATAATGTTAGAGCTCCTTGCACATAACTCAAACAATTTTCGAATCAAGATCTGGAGAAGGGAGAGCGAATCAAGATTCGGAGAGCGGAGAGCAAAGAGCAAAAAGATCAGAAATGGCAGAAACTGTTGTTGAGGCTTTCATACAAAAACTGAGTGAACCACTTATTAAGGACGTGAAATTCCTCTATGGTGTGCATGATCAAGTCATCACGCTCACGACTGATTTAGAGCGTATGAAGGCCTTCATTAAAGATGCGGAGGTTATGGGTGCAATCGATGAGAGAACAAAGAATTGGGTGGGAGAAATAAGAGATTTAGTCTACGAAGCTGAGGATGTTATTGACAGGTTTGTCTATCAAGCTGAGCAGCGAAATAGAACTGGTTTCATTGGTTGTTTGACCAATAATGCTAGTCTCCTTATGCAGTTGTGGGATCGTCACAACGTGGGCACGGCGATCGAAGGCATCAACAGAAACCTGGAGGATATTGGAAAGAGGAGGCCTGTCTATGATCTGTCACAAAATCGTATCGGAGAGGAAGGATCGAGTTCAAGAGGTAAAGGTTCAAAAAATCTCAGGAGGTCATCACCTCAAGGTGAGGAACTCGAATTAGTAGGAATGAACAAAGAGGTGAGTTCCTTAATGCGATTGTTGTTGGAGGGAGAGGAACGACGCTGTGTGGTCACTGCGGTTGTCATGGGTGGTGTGGGTAAGACTGCACTTGTCAAGAATCTTTATAATAATGATGATGTGATGAGTTGGTTTGATTGTTGTGCTTGGGTTCCTGTTTCTCAGTCTTACATGGTAACCGAGATCCTTCATAGCATGATAAAAGGAGTTGATGCACCGTGAAAAGGCATAAAAAAGATGGATGAGCAAGAGTTAACGAAGGTTCTCTCTAAATATTTGCAAACAAGGAAGTATTTGGTAGTCTTGGATGATATATGGGAGCACAATCCTTGGGAAAGTGTAAGAGATGCACTGCCAGACAGTAACAATGGCAGTAGAGTTTTAATAACATCTCGCAATACGGACCCTGTAAATTCAATGGGTTCCAATCTCCTCTTCCTCCAACTATTGCCCATGGATGAGAGCTGGGAGTTGTTTTGCAGAAAGGCATTTGTAAAGGATAATGGGAGATGCCCTGAACATTTGATAAACATAAGCCGTGCCATCGTGAAAAGATGTGACGGCTTACCCCTGGCTCTTGTCATTGTAGGAGCTCTCCTGTACAGGAAAGCATCGACAGCATTGGCATGGACGAGAGTGCTTGATGGCCTCAGTGGAAATTTGGGTAAAGGTGATGAACCACTCTCTAAAATCTTTTCATTAAGTTATTTTGATCTACCGAACTACCTTAAACCCTGCTTCTTATATTTATGTGCTCACCCTGAAGATCTCAAGATTAGAAGAACAAGCTTAATTCATCGGTGGGTGGCAGAAGGGTTTATTGTAAATAAAGGGGATATGACATTGGAAGATGCAGCGGAGGACTACCTCGAGGAATTGGTAAGTCGGAGCATGATACAAGTGGTAAGTGTGAGCTCGAGTGAACGTATTAAATCTTTTCGTGTACATGAACTTTTACGAGAATTTTCTTTGGCGATAGCCAAACAGGAAAATTTTTTAGGAGTTTTTCCATGTAAAGGTAAGACACCCCATCTAAGGACTCGGCGTCTTTCATTTCATCGTGGTATGGCTGATGACAAGTACTTGTCCAGTTACAATGCTTCGAAAGTTCATTCGTTGTTCTTTTATAAGGATCTCACAAAACTTTCCTTTGATGGTTTACATGGGGCTAAGTTTATTAGGATATTGGTGCTTGATCATATCAGAATTCAGTACTTACCAAATGAATTGATGAGTTTAATTCATTTGAGGTATTTGAGTTTTTGTAAAAGCTCCTACGAGGGAAAGATCCCGAAATCCTTAAGGAATCTCAAATACTTGGAAATTCTTGACATGAGAATGAAATCTCACAGTGTGTTTGCACTTCCAGGTAAGGCTTTGGCCCTCCAAAGTTTAAGACATCTGTACCTGTCCAAGGGTCTTGTGAAATCAATGATACATTTGAAAATGGAGAACTTGAAAAGCCTCCAAACATTATGCGGTGTATGTGGTGGGAGGTGGATAAAAGAATCACTGGGCAATTTGACCCAACTTCGGAAGCTCAGGATATTTCCAATGGAGGTCGATGACATTCAAAACGTCTACAATTCCCTAAGCAATCTGCAATGCCTCCCATCACTGACTCTGTTAGCCAAGGGTGACACTATTCAAACAAGGCACAATTTGGAAGCAGTTTTGCAACCTCCTGCGCTTCTCGAAAAATTGCAGTTAAGTGGAAAGTTAGAAAAGCTACCGAGCTGGTTTGGAACCCTCCGGAACCTTACCAAGTTGATTTTATTGTCAAGCAAACTGAATGAAGAAGGTTTCTATGAGCTCCAAGAGTTGCCTAGGCTGCGAATCCTAAAGCTATATGCATACGTTGGAAATGGGATGCCTTGCATGGCAGGAGGCTTTCCTCAACTCCGAGAATTTGTTCTTGAAAATTTATACGAGTTAGAGGAGTGGAAGAGTTTGGAGGAGGGATCCATGCCTTGTCTTGAAAGCCTAGATATCATTAAATGTCCCAAGTTGAACATGCTTCCCGAAGGGTTGCAGCACATCAAGGCACTCCAAAAATTGAGATGTGTTGGCATGTCTAAAGAATTCTGGTCAGAGTCCAGCACACCGGTTCTTAAGACTGGCACAAAATCGAGAAAATCACCGATCCAGATATCGATTTATCTCCTTTGTTCGATTCTCCATGTCAGTGATATCAAGGGTGCTTCCATTTCCATAAAATTTGGATCGTTGAAATCTCCTCTCTCTCTCTCATGTTAGCCAGAAAACACCCACTTCCTGTTGTCTCATTAATGGTTTTTGTTTATGGCTTAGTCTTGTATTAGAATGTGAACGTTACTGAAAAGAAAGACTAATGTGATTTTGTCGGAGAATATATATATTTTATTTTATTTTTTTGATTTATTTATTTTTTTTTCTTTTTCTTTTAGCAAAGATCACTTACAAGTAGTTTTACTACAATAACTATTGCATCAAAGAAAATAAAACTAACTAATCCAAAATCTTAGAAACCTTGATGCCACTAAACCAATTTCTTTTAATCAAAGAAAATATCCACAATCTTATGCTTGTGAATATAAAGATAATATAATTAAGTATGACAAGAAACAAAAAAAGAGTGCCGGAGATTACCTTAATTGGGCTTATTACAACCACACCGAGTCGACACCATTCGATGACGCGGGATCAACTATCAACCTTCAACCTTCAATCTCAACCGACAAAGCAAGTTTAGGCCAAACCCTCTAATGGAACAATGAATTCTTTTATCACAAATCTCAAACCCTTAGGTGAATCCCTTTAACAACTTAGTTTGAGAAAAATACTTATCTTTTCTACCACAACCTTATAGTCTAAAACCCCAATGAGAGATGAGAGACCATGAGAGAGTTGAGAGAACCATCATAAAAAAGATATCAATGATGAGAGAGTCGAGTGTGCCCCCTTTTGGACTTTGAGAGATAGAGTTGGGAATTAGGTATAGGAGATAGGATGTAGAGATTTTGGGTAGAGAGTATCTCCTTTTATAGGCTTTGAACAAGATTAGGATTTCTTAGGGTTTTCTTTGGTTTGTCTCTTTTTGTGAGATTGAATATAAACCATTGATCTTGGGTGACTTATGGGGTGAGAGATTTGAGCCTTCCATTCCATAAATGGGCTATCAACATTATGGAAAGTGCTAGAACTTTTATCCACCATTCCTAAACTATTTTCTCATGAATATAAGTTAAATAAAATAATTTCATTTATACTATAGTGCTTATCAAAATTAGGCACAAGCCTTCTCATCCTTTCCAAAAATCATTCGAAACCTTCTTCAAGGAAAAATACTTTCAAAACACTTCAAAGTTTTCTCTTCAAGCCAAAGCTTGAACTAACACAAGAAAAGTTTTATTAGGGCATGACCCCACCCACATGCAATAGTGGACCCATTAACATATTGAGTATCTCATGCAATATTAAAATTAATTATATGATTTTTAGAAATCTATAAAATCAAATTTAAATATTTAAATCAATCTAAAAGCAATATCTTTGTTTTTATAAATCCAAAATTGATAAATAATATCCAGAGATCTAGAAAAAATTCAAATAATAATTCTAAAAATCATATATCATTAAAACAAATATAATTAAATTCATTAGATGGGAAAATGATCCCTATGGTCTAGGAATTAAATAAATAAACGCTAGGCACTCCACTTTCAACTATGGACTACGGTCCACACTTGCTTTATCAAATCGACTGAGTGTTTTCCATGACTTACCATCCATACAGGAGCTCATTAATGGGTCACCAAAGTCTGGCCAATAAGCCAAGGGTCGTAATCACAGTTTGTGGATTTCAAGTTCCTCCTAGAGACATACCAAGGTCACCTAAACCTGATGCGGCTACGTCTCCTATAGTGCGTAGGGTATCTCTCGTACATACATAAGCTTCACCCTAAAAGGTGGTTCACTTTCCCGAAACGGCTACCCTAAAAGGTGGTTCGCTTTTCCGAAACGACTATCATTATGCATGCCGTGTGATGGTTTGCGGATGAAGCTTTGGCCCCCGTCTGTGAGGCCACTATCACACACAAGGGTCACACAGTCTCTCAGCTCACTCATCCGGGCGTACTCCAACGTCATCAAGGGATGACCTATTAGAACCCTTATCAGATAGTTTTCTATGCCCAAGGAACATAGGTTTTTCCCAAACGACTGGCCTAGCTTGTTAAGCTCAGTTCGGTATTAGCAATCATCG